GGGGCTCGATCCCAGGACCCTGGGATCATGACCTGAGCTGAAGGCAGACACTTAACGACTGAGCCACCCAGGCGCCCCATCTATTTTGTTTTTTTAATGCTGGTCACAATCCATTCATTTCAGATTATAACACAGTTTAAAAACACTCGATAAAAAAAGAATCTGAAGGGGTTGTAAGGGGGTGAGATTTCTATCCCACAGCAAGGAAGATAAAGCTAAAAAAGAGATTTTAAGTGATGCTTAAGGGTAAATTATTATTATGATTATTTTTGCTAATGTAAACTACCTGTCTTAACTGAGATTCATCTCGAAGCTGCCTTCTGGCTTCGTTGTACATTTCATCCAGCCCCTGCCGAGAATGCTTGTATGTTTGAAGCTCAGTTTCCACATCCACTTTGGTAACCTAAGAAGAAAACATCAAGCTTTTTACTGTGTCATCACTACTATCAGTACAGCACAGAAATAAATATCCAGTCTATGCAGAAGTCCCCAAAAGTGGCAACTTCTGACACAAGACAGTGTGTTCGCAAACAGTCCATACTTACCTCCAGGTGCTGCTGTGTTTTCATTAAAATCAGTTTATTTTCACTTCGTAATTGATGATTTTCTTCTTGGAGTTTAATGATATTATTTTTTGCTATTGCTAACTAAAAATTATGAAACAGGGACAAGAAAAAAGATTTTAAACACCTTTACTTATACTTGCTTTACAGGTTATGATCATCGCTATAAACAATAGAATATAAAAGCTTAAAACTAGTCAAATGTCTCACATCTACAGAAGCTTTCATAAGAAAAATGTGCTAGTATCCTAAGATACCAATAAAAAAATTCAACTCTTATTTCTAGTATTTCCTTTTATTAGTCAAAATATATTGTTAGTTAAAACATATCATGCATATCTGATTTAAGTATGTTCTGAATACAAAGTATCATGAAACAATAAGACTGTAAAGACCTGTGTAAAGATAAAAGATCTATAAGAAGGCTGTGCTATCATTGAAAATATGATACAGACCTTCATGATAACCAAATAGGACACCCTCTGAAATAGATAACACTGAGTGACCATCACAAATATGAGACATTTTTCACCATCAGAGTTAAACTAAGTGGCTTGGTTCTGAGGCCTACAATGAAAAGAGGGATTCCAGGAAAGGAAAGCAGGAACCATCCCCAATGTTGGCTTATAAATAAATTTCTGAACACTTCATCAGGGATATAACTTGAACTTCACAGTGTGCCTAAGGCCAAGAAGAAGCACAAACTAGAGAGCAGCTCTAATGGTCCCAATCTATCAAACTACCAAATGGTCCCGATGGCCAACAGATACATGACAAGATGCTCAACATCACTCATCATTAGGGAAATGCAAGTTAAAACTACAATGAAAGACTACCTGTCAGAATGGCTAAAATCAGAAACACAAGAAACAACAGGTGTTGGCGAGGATGTGGGGGAAAAAAAAGGGACCCTCGGTGCACTATTGGTGGAAACAGAAACTGGTGCAGTCACTGTGGAAAACAGTATAGAATTTCCTCAAAAAATTAAAAATAGAACTACCCTACAATCCAGTAATTGCACTACTGGGTATTACCCCCAGAATACAAAAACACTAATTCAAAGAGATACATGCATCCCTGTTCACTGCAGCATTATTTACAACAGCCAAACTATGGAAGTGGCCCAAGTGTTCACTGATAGATGAATGGATAAAGAAGATGTAGTGAGTGGATGGAATGTTATTCAGCCATTAAAAAGAATGAAATCTTGCCATTTGCAACAACATGGATAGAGCTACAGAGTTTAATGCTAAGCAAAATAAGTCAGAGAAAGACAAATACTGTATGATCTCACTCATATGTGGAATTTAAGAAACACATGAGCAAAGTCAAAAAAAAAGAGAGAGAGACCAAGAAACAGACTCTTAACTATAGAGAACAAACTGATGGTTACCAGAGGGGAGATGGGTGGTGGGACTGATGAAATAGGTGATGGGGATTAAAGAATACACTTACCATAATTAAAAAATGAAACAAAAGAGAACACTATCAAGTGGTCCCAAACTATCAAAATAAAGATACATTTGCAGTCATGCAAGTAATCATGTGCTCCCTGGTTTGGAAAAATTAGGCCAGTTCTAAAAGAATTAAGAATTTTAATTAACACAGAAAGTAGGGTTCAGAGCACTCGTGACAGATTTCTTCCTCTAGCCTAAATAATTCTGAAAATAGAAAGCAGTAACTCTGTGGATTAAAAAAAAAAAAAACTTATCTAAAGCAACTTTACAAACAGTATTAAAAAGAGAGCAGGGATAAATTTCCAGTCTGGGACCACCAGATAGGCGCTCTGACAACGCAGGAAACCAAAGCACACGGGATGAGGTTTATACTTGGTTGGGTGGAGAAAGGGTGGCCATGAGCAGGTAGTGGTGCTTGTAAAGAAAAGTAATCTGAATAGTGGAACAAGACAAACAGTATCATTTTAATGAGAATTTCTACCTATAGGTGATTCACTATCTAAATAGAGGTCATTCAGATTTTAAAGAGAATCACAGCTTATTCATAGAAGGGCTTGTATAAGTGTCATCTTTGGGGCTCATTTCTAGGAGTATCTCAAACAACTCACAGATTTACCAGAGAATTTACCTGAGAAAATGTGGTTTCTCTAGAACTTATAATCATCAATTATAACTATATTGCAAATATTCCATCATAAGGATGAAAATGTGCACCCATGCACATGCACACTTAGTGTATTCATACTTAAAATGGAAAAGGATCAAAAATACTCAGTCCGTGTAAGACAACTATCCATGGCTGGGTTACAATACCTCTTCAATCAGCTTAGTATTTGACTTTTCTAATGAGTCAACTCTTGAATGGAGACTGCTGACTGTGCTGCTGAAATTAATAAAGAAAAAACTCATTCAAATCACACAAATTCACAAAAGTAAGAAAAGGTATGTTATCCTGGACTTACCATGTTAACTAACATGCACCGACTATCCTGAATTTGTCAGTGTGGGAAATTTCATTAAGTTGGATAACCAGATTTGGCTAGGAAAGCAATAAAGACTGGAGCAAAAAACTCATTTCTATTAAAATTCCACTTTATGCTGTTCATTATTTTTTGCTGTCTTCTTAGAGTCTTTCTTACATTTACATTTTAATACTTAGGAATGGATTCCACACAAAGACTACCAAGTATTATTAAAATTAAAAATTATCTTTTAAAGGATGAACTTTAAATATCCACTTTATAATTAAGTGGCTTAATAAGCATTTACAGCAGTCTTCAACACAAGCCCATTCTGTTTCCACTCTCCACTTTCATAATCACTTAAAGACCTCTAAAGTCACCCATAGTTTGGGAAATGTGAATATGAAATTCACATCAGGTACCCGGACAGCCAGCAGCTAAGCAAACACCCTTTCAAGGATATAGCTAAAAGTCAGGTTAAGCCGAATGAACTTGGTTTTTTTGTATTTTTGTTTAAATTGATCAAGACTGGACATTACTGTACATTTTTTTCCTGCATTTTTATAAATCTTGACAAAAAATCGTATTTCAAACTGTACAGTCACCAGGAGTACACAGTTATCAAAAATGCACACACTTCCCTTGGCATCTCCGAGACTGGACATTATTGTACATTTTATTTAGTTTGTTTTTCAAGACCTTGTTTCTACCACCTCAAGCTTTAATAACATAATATGCTGTTTACATCACAATAAAACCTATCATAGATTTAAACAAATTTTATACCAGCCTCAGAAATAAATATTGGCATTTTAGTTTAACTAGTGAAACAAATCTTTTTTCATTCATATTAAATTATTTTTAAATATTATCATTCTTAGGGAAACAACTTGAGTTTTTCACAAACAGCAACAGGGTATCCAGATGGTGAGACCTTAACAGGTGTGGGACTAAGAGACAGAGGATCAAAGTTAGAGTTCCTGCTTTTCTACTTTCTGTGTCACCTTGAAAGCTGTAAAACCTTTCTGAGCTCCAGTTTCCTTACCTATAAATCAGATAATAGTATCTGTCCTACCTTTATGTAAGAATCAATAAAATATTAATCAAAAAAGCACTTTTGAAAATAAACCCTCAATAGTTTTCTTTGAATGAGGGATAATATGTGAGTTCTATTTTTTTCTTTATCTGTTTTCTGTATTTTTTTAAGTACTCTAAATATACAAAAACATTCTAACTGGAAAAACAAACCTTTTTAAAACCGTAAAATGTACAAAAGTAAGGCACTAGCACTGCTGTAAATGATTTAAAACACATAATTTCAAAGAGAATGAGAAAACTCCTTGAACCAAATGGAACAGACTCTAAGATAAACTGTTGAGTAAAAACAGTGAACTACAGAATAGTGTAAAAATTATGCTACTTTACGTGTAAAATAACTGAGGGGAAGGGAACTTTAAGAAAATATATGCATATTCTTGTTTATTTGTATAAAGTATCTCTGGAGGCATACACGAGAGCCTATTAATTAGTCCCAAAGAGGGAAACCAGGTGATTGGATATCAAGGAGGAGGGAGGCTTTTTGTTCATGTTCCTTTTGAAGTTTAAACTATGTGACTATATATATATTTTTTAAAGATTTTATTTATTTATTTGAGAGAGAGCAAGCACGAGCAGGGCAGAGGGAGAGGAAGAAACAGACTCCCCGCCAAGCAGGGAGCCCAATGCAGGGGATGCAGGGCTCGATCCTAGGACCCTAGGATTGTGACCTGAGCTGAAGGCAGTCGCTCAACCAACTGAGCCAACAGGCGCCCCAAACTATGTGAATATATTACCTGTTGCCAAAAGTGAATAAAGCTTTAAGAGTAAGTAAATAAGCAATACAAAGTTGCATTTAGAAATATAATCTCAGAATTACAAATTAGAAAACACACATACATACACATATATTTCCTATGACATCTTTTATTAAAACTCTGTGATTAAAAAAAAAGACAATGATACAAGATATTTCCTATCTCTCCAACTTCAGAGAAAGCAAGAGTTACAGCTTCTTATCTTTCTAAAATGGGAAAATGTTTAATTTTATTTTCTGACTACTGAACGAAACTTAGAAAATCAGAAAAGTATAAAGAATAAAATAGAAATTATCCATAATTTCATCACCCAGAGACAGTCATTTTTGCTAATTATTCATTTTAATTAATGGGAACAGTCTCCATTTCTAACTATGTAGCAAATATTATTCACTTTACCTGTGCTATCTAGTCCAAACTAAAATGTACTATAACTGTAAAATACACATTGGCTTGTGAAGACAATACAAAGAAAGAATATAAAATACCTCATGAATAATTGTTATATTGATTACATATTGAAATAATATTTTGGGTATACTGGGTTGAATAAAATATATATATATTTTTTAAAGATCTTATTTATTTATTTATTTGAGAGAGAGAGAGAAACAGCATGAGAGGGGATAGGGCCAGAGGGAGAAGCAGGCTCCCCACTGAGCCGGGAGCCTGATGTGGGACTCGATCCCAGGACCCTGGGACCATGACCTGAGCCAAAGGCAGTCGCTTAACCAACTGAGCCACCCAGGCTCCCATAAAATATATTTTTAATTAATTTCATGTTTTTTTACCTTTTTAATGTGGTTACTAACAATTTTAAATTATCTGTATGACTCACATTTTATTTCTATTAGTCAGAACTGCACTATACTATTTTACATATTGATCTCAGAAATTCTTACAAGTATTCACTGACAGCTTCAATGCCCAGGTGACATATATAAGGAAATAAAATATAAGGAAAAACTCCCACCATAGGAGGCGACAGCCACATTTACACATGAAGCTCTTTGAAGTAGGAAAAATGAATTTGTGAACCATAAAAATGATATAAACTTCCACCCTATCTAGCCTTTTCTTCTGAAGGATACAGGGATAAGTTTGAAATTCTGTCTTTATTTTTTTGACCCCTCCCCAGAAGTTCTATTTTTAAATTCTCCAAATGTTCTATCTGAAAATCTGACTCTTGGAAAGCCTGGGTGGGTCAGTCGGTTAAGCGGCTGCCTTTGTCCCAGGTTATGATCCAAGGGTCCTGAGATCAAGCCCTGCATTGGGCTCCCTGCTCAGCGGGGAGTCTGCTTCTCCTTCTGCTGTTCCCCCTGCTTGTGCTCTAATCTCACTCTCTCTCAAATAAATAAATAAAATCTTAAAATTAAAAAAAAAGAAAATCTGACTCTCATTTTTGAAAATGAATTAGCTCCAATAATTCTCTGTATTCTTAATTTCTATTCTCTACTCCCTCAACCCTTTCTCAAAGATGTTTAGTAGGAAGGAATAGGGTAAAGTGGACCTGAAAAGGGTGTAAAAAACCTCTACGACAATAGTCACAAATATCCAAGTATCCATAATACTTACTTCAGTTGTCTATTTAATTCTTCAACATAATTCTTCTGGTCTAATATGGCAGCAATTTGAACATTCCTAAAGAGGGGGAAAAGCAGCTTTGTGTCAGTTGGAAAGGTATTTACTGAAGGACCAAAAAAATGTCTACGGCGCCTAAAATTGTTGTAAAACCATAATGGCAAAAAACATTATCTTGCCTTTAAATAAAATTCAAGAATCTTTATAATAATGTAGCAGTAAGCTGTGTACTAATTATAACCTTTGTTAAGTCTAGTATTAGCAAGTAATCTATTTAACAATACCATTAAAAAGTATATTTAAGAACTCTTTTGCATCAGTATGTTTTTTAATTAAAATACATTTGACAGGGGCGCCTGGGTGGCTCAGTCATTAAGCGGCTCAGGTCATGATCCCAGGGTCCTGGGATTGAACCCCGCATCAGGCTCCCTGCTCAGCGGGAAGCCTGCTTCTCCTTCTCCCACTCCCCCTGCTTGTGTTCCCTCTCTCCCTGTCTCTGTCAAATAAATAAATAAAATCTTTAAAATAAAATAAAATACATTTGACATATAACTATAAATTTAAGGTGTATATGTTAATGTGATACATTTGTGATATGACTGCCACTGTAGCAATAATTAGCACCTCTATTATGCTACATAATTATCCTTTCTTTCTCTTATTTGGAGTAAGTATATTTTAAATTTAAACACAGATCTTGGAATAAACTAGCATTTGTAAGCTTGTGAATAATAAGCTTTCATCTCTTTTACAGCAAAAAAAACAGCAATTAAAATGGGCCTCAGGAACTACAAGTGTGACCAAAAGCCATACTTCAGACTAACGCCACCTCCTTCTATGTGATTTCTGCTTTGTAAAACTTGTGTATGGAAGCTAAATGAAACAAAGCAGGAACTACACACAAAATAAGGAAATAAAAACTACACTGTCAAAAAAAAAAAAGCTACATTATCAATAGATGGACCTCATGGTGATTTGTAAAGAGCTACATAAAAAATACAACATGTGCGGGGCGCCTGGGTGGCTCAGTCGGTTAGGCAGCTGCCTTCGGCTCGGGTCATGATCTCAGGGTCCTGGGATCGAGCCCCGCATCGGGCTCCCTGCTCGGCGGGAAGCCTGCTTCTCCCTCTCCCACTCCCCCTGCTTGTG